TGTTGGGTCTGCATTGCGACATTGATTGGGTTGATCATTGGTATCCTAGCATTCCGCTGCGCTGTCTTGTACTATGTGAGGGAGGTCGGTCCCTGTTCTGGTTTGCACCATTGCGGTATGCAACATTTTGGTATCTCCTCCTCCTCTCACATGGGTGATGTATGATGGGATGCCGTGTCAGTCCCGGTCAAGTCAGGACTTATATCCGAGTCTTCCACTTCGCTACAAAGTGCCATTTTGTATGTATCAGGATGAACACTGCTTGTTGAGATTCCACTACCACTGCATTGTCCATTCAGTCCTTTTTATCACAGTTGCGGATCCTTGGCTGCCCATACATTGCCCAACTGGGCATGTATCAGTTGGTATCGCAGCACCGCACGTGAATCAGGACAACCTGATGTGACATCTGGACCTAACTGCCAAAATCGAAATTTTTTCTTTTTCTGAAAATTCCAATTTTCGTTGTTCTTTTGTTCAAGGGAGATTGGGAGACCTACTGAACTTGCAAAGTTCGGGATTTTTATTGAATTCTCGATTTTTTTTTTCTCTGCAAAAGTTCAAACTTTTCTTTTTTGATTAGTGGCTCCTTATCTGGGCGATTTATCCCACCCAGCCCTCCCAACCTATGTTGTTGCCCCCTCTGGTCTTATCTTCTCTATCTGTCTCTGGGTACCCCCTGCGGCGGCATTGGTGAGTTGCCATGTCAGCAGGCCACGTCAGCAGACCATGTCAGCAGGCCACGTCAGCGACCATGTCAGCAGGACACGTCAGCGACCATGTCAGCAGGACACGTCAGCCGAAAAGTGCCACGTCAGCAGTCCTCCGGCCTGGTCTATGCCCACGCGCTTACAAACAGCCGACATGGATCAGAAGTCCGGGGAAGCCGAGGCCTATCAGGCCCGGATGCTGGCTTTGATTACCGAAGCCAAGAAACGGGCGAACGAGGTCGCAGCCGCAGAGAAGAAGAAGAACGCAGAGGACGCCGAAAAGACACGTCTGTTGGCAATCGAACAACAGCGCCAGCAAGACGAGGAAGCAGCAAAGCCTGCCAATGAAGAACGAAATCAACGACGCGAGAAAGATATTCAACGGAGAGCGAGCCTTGCTCACAATGGCAGCAGACTGGCGGGTGGAGGCCGAGAATGGTAAGATGGAAGAGAGTGAAAGCAAGATCGCTCAACTCCTCTCCCATTTCACGGATCTCCTGGCAACGTGCATTGCACAACAGGAGGACATTCACAGCCTCGGGGACGCGGTTCAGACGCATAAACGGGCGTTTGATCAAGTCAACAGCCGCCTCCAGCAGCTGGAGCAACAACCCGTCACCGCCCCCGTTGCCAGCTCCTCCAATACCTCCGATCGCCTCAATGCATTGGAGGTCGACGACGCGCAGCTACAACAAACTGCCACGCAACAACTGGAGCAGTGGATCTGTGCTGCCGCTGCCAACCCGAGTTCGGCACCGCGCGAGACGACTCCAAAGTTCGATGGTCAGGAGATCTTCTGCAACTCGATGAAGACGGACCCGATTCCGTGGTTCCGCAAGTTTGAACTCAAGTTGCCGCTACATCACTTCAGCGAGGACAAGAAACACGCGTACTTATACTCCCGGTCGGGGGGCGCGTGCCAAGCATGGTTGGACAATCTCCTGTCCAAGTATGGGGTGGTAGCTGCCGACTTGTACACCAAGATCAGCTGTGATGATCTAAATGCGGCGTGGCATAAGCAGTTCCAAGTACAGCCGCCGGAGATCAAGGCAATGGACAAATTGCTGACCTTCGAACAAGGCACACTGCCGAGTACCAACGCTTGACATCCGTCCCAGACATTCAGATGGGCTTCAACGCCGTCAAACACTACATCACAAGGTCGTGTCCGGCATTGGGCAACGCCTTGACTCACGTCGAGGACATTCTGGCGACAACGGCGGAGCTTTTTGACAAGGCTGCACAGATCATTGTCACGAACAAGGAGGCCAAGAACCTCAACCGTTCGTTTGCGACAGGCCCAAGCAGAGATCAGCATCGGCCGAAAGTGGCCGTGGTCGTGGCGGCAATGCCAACCGACCCTTCTAACGAGGCCGTGTTTGCCAATGAAGGGGACAAACTCGCAGCCGCCCGGGATGGTGGCCGCCCTGGCAAAGACCAAGGAGGCGGCAAGACCAAGATAAACACTGCATCTATCCCCGGGCCCGACACAACAGCTCCAGCCCCGTGGTCCCACTACGGTCTCTCTGAACGTGCGTACAAGTTACGCACGAGATTCCACTATTGTCTGTGGTGTAACGATGATCTCCACGACACAGTGGGTTGCCCGTCGAAAGGCAAGGGCAAGCCGGGAAATTGAGCACCGCCGGGAACCGGTGGCTTTGCGGGTGACCGCCCTTCGTTCCAAGGCACATGCGAAAGTCGATAGTCCTCCTCTTCTATATTCTTACGAGGACTATGCTGCTGGGCTCGTTCCTACGCTGGGTACTCATGCTCAAGGACAAGACGTGTGTGCGGCATCTTCTCCGTCCGGCAGCGGCGACTTATCGTCTTCAAGTGGTTCTTCACGGGATTCGGCGCGCGAGTTCAACATAGAGGTCTTGGACCCGCTCACGGTGGAGGATTTCGCATGGCTTCCTCTCCCGACTGCGGGCCGCTTGCCGGGACCGCAATGCGCAGCATTATGCGCTAATCTTCACACGTATCTATCCTTCTATGCACCACCAACTTCGCTGACGAATGACGAAGCTGCGCTGGGGGACATCCTTGCGTATGTTACCAAGGTGGCCCGCGAATTTCGCAAGCAGCGGTACGATGACAACAATGCACCGCTCCTCTATATCCGCATCCAAATCGGGCAAGCGTCCTGCAGCGGTTTGCTGGATAGCGGCGAGACCCGCAATTTCATGAGCCAAGCCTTTATGCAAAGGGCTGGCCTTGGCACACAAGTTCCGAGGAAGGCAAACCCGACGACGATCAAGTTGGCGGATGGAAGGACGCAAGAACTTATCGATCGAGGCCGTACCGGTGTATTTCGTACCTCATGCATGCGAACCGGTGACGTTCGACATTTTGGACACAGACTTCGATATCATTTTGGGAATGCCTTGGCTTGCAAGTGAGGATCACACGGTCAACTTCCACCGCCGGACTCTTACCGTTTGAGACGCCTTCGGGGCCGAAGTGCCGTGTACTATTCCTCTTCTGCACCCTTCGATCCGGTGCCAAGTGGTGACGGCCAAGTCATTCCGGGCTACTTGCGCTTACGAGCAGCCCGACGAGATAGGCCTATGCTTCCTATGGACCATTGCGGTAGCCGATTCTTCCCCCACAGACTTGTCTTCGGACCCCTGTGTGGTGCGGTTGCTTGACGAGTTCACCGACATCTTCGAGTCACCTACCGGTGTGGTGCCGGATCGGCCGATCGCTCACGAGATCATTCTTGAGGCCGGTGTCATGCCGCCGAAAGGCTGCATTTACCGCATGAGCGAGGAGCTTACGGTCCTCCGCGCGCAACTCGATGACTTGTTGGATAAAGGCTGGATCCACCCTAGTAGCTCCCCATATGGAGCGCCAGTTCTCTTCGTACGGAAGAAGAACTAGGGTCTACGATTGTGAATCGACTACCGCAAGCTCAACGCGCAAACCGTCAAGAATGCGGGGCCTCTTCCTCGTATTGACGATCTCCTTGAGCGTTTGGGTGGCCCGAAGTACTTTTCTAAGTTGGATTTGGAGTCGGGATATCATCAGATTTCGATCCGGCCGAATGATCGCTATAAATCCGCGTTCAAGACGCCGTATGGGCATTTTGAGTGGGTGGTCATGCCCTTTGGCGTCACCAATGCCCTGGCGACCTTTCAAGCGGCAATGACCAACGAGTTCCGTGCGATGTTGGACCGGTTCGTGCTGGTCTACTTAGACGACATTCTCGTCTATAGCCGGACATTGGAGGATCATCTGGAGCACCTTCGACGAGTGTTGGAGACACTCCGCCGCACCAAGTACAAAGCCAACCGCGACAAGTGCGAATTTGTCCAACAAGAGCTGGAATACTCGGGCCATTTTGTCACACCGGAGGGCATCAGTGCGTTGTCAGACAAGATTCAAGCCATCCAAGAGTGGCCGGAGCCGCGGAACGTCACGAATGTCCGTTCGTTCCTTGGCCTTGCCGGCTACTACCAACGTTTTATCAAGGGATACTCGAAGATCACGGATACAGAAATGACAAAAATAGTTCCCCATGTCGAAAAACAGGCCTGCCTTCACTTAGGGCGGGCACTTTGCTTGCTAGGAGCCCCTTGGGCATCTGTAGGCCGCGGTCGAGCGGCCAATGCGAAGGCTGAATCATCGGACACTGTTGAACACCTCTTTCTGTTTTTCTGGAAAGGATCACCTTATTATGGTCATGGTCCCAGTCATTCTGGGATTTTTTTTTTTAGGACCTTTTGGTCCTGTTGTGCTGCACTTTTTGTTATTTGTTTTCAACAGAAACAACCACTGTGCGTGGATGGTTCTTGAAACTTCGTAGGCAGTGCTTGCCTGGTCTGCAATTATCAGACAAAGATCATCATGTCTCAATACGACCTGTCGTTTTCTTGTTGTCGACAGCCTCTTGACCCGCTCCTTCCTCAGATGTCAGACTGTGAAGAACCCTGACTAAGCCACCAGCCCTTGTAGTTGCATCTGATTGATTGCATTCAGTGATGTGGAATGTTCGTTTTGGTGGGGCGGTGAAGAAAGAGCCGTACCGTGAATGACAGACTCTGCGGAACCCGAACTAAGCTGTCAGCCCTTGCAGTTGCATCTGCTATATTGCATGGAGTGATGTGGCATGTCCTTTTCTGTGCGGGAGAAAAAGGAGGGGCATTCAAGAGAAAGCCATGTGTTTGAAGAAAAATACGTGAGCAAAAAATAATTCTTCACCTTGGTTTGACAACAGGCTTGTGTGAAGAAAATTTTTGTTCTCATTTGAACGCTAATTTGCAGACTTGGTGTTGGTTTGTCGTGTAGGGTTCCACGATGATGCAGATTTCCAAGAGATGAAAAGACCCAACAACGGCAGGCAAAGGGGAAGACTAAGTGGACAGGATGAAGGGAGGAGACTAAGTGGTCAGGATGAAGGGAGGAGACTAAGTGGACAGGACGATGCTGCAATGTTGGCTGACACAAAGCCAAAGGTTCCGAAAATTTACTATGCCACGTGCGTACACTGTACACACATTTTTTATTTCAAATCCTGCCCAATCAACTCCCCTCTCCTGTCTTTCCATGGTTGGCAGCAGACGGCTGCATTCCTCCTCACGGCCTCCATCTCCTCCATTGTCTTGTTTACAAGCAGACTCTCCTGTTCCCATTGTCCTGTCTTCATTGTTGGAGATGTGCTCATCTCCGGTTTGCCACTCCAAAACTCCTCTTGTTGTGTATCGTCAATGGCAGACACTGTCGTTGCTCATCTCCAGAGTCCAAACAGTAATATCTGCTCGTGTCCCCTGCAGACCGTCCAGTTTCCGGGCCTCAGGCAGTCATGAGATGATGTGTGATACTCTGCAGCATTGGAGATTCATGAGTCACCTGCAGAACAGGATGTGGTCCACACTCAGGATGCATTGCCCACTCAGTGGGCAGTCCCAACTCAGAATACAGCCCTGAATGTCCTGGGATAGGAACATGATTTGTCGGAATTGCACGTTGCCCCACAGGGCATAGACTACATGGGTGATTTGCAAATGACTGACCAAGACACAGGCCAGGACCTTCCAGATTTGGAACCTCCTATGGGTAACCTGCAAATTGTTGGTTCAGTGTGCGGCACTCCATCTCTGTGATCCCAGCTGCTCTAATCGCATTGAGATTCTTTCCAATCTCTTGTGGTCTTGCTGCTACAAATGCTTGTCTACACAGTCACTTGCCCGTCTTATACAGTATTGGACTTTCTTGTAATTGCCCTTCAAGTTGATGTGGATAATCCCTGCCTAGAGGCAGAGGGTAGTAAATGTACCAGGGAGGGAGGCTGTACAATTGAGGTCCTACAAGCAGTAATGAGGGGCTGCCAACTTTTAACTGCACCCTGCTCGGCCCAGAGGTGCTTTCCTCCTCCGTCCTACGTCTGTGCCTGCATTGTACATGGACCTGGCCATTACATGGTCATTTTCCATGTCTCTGACCACTGGGAGCCGTGGGACATGGGCACCATGCTGCAGGCCCATGACTGATGTTGGTGACTTCCATTGCAATGGTGATGTTTTCTTGCCTCTTCAAACCGTCCACACATGCTCTTATGTGCAAGATCACATCTCTGCCATTTTGACACGGCAGCACAATGTGTCAACGCTCTCTGGTCTTCTCATCTGCATAGCTGCAGGCACTGTTACACTCAGCTGTGGGCCTCGTTGTGTTGAGACAGTCACTACAATGCCAGGGTTTCTGCATCCATGTGTTGCAGAGGGCTGCGCCTCCTTTTCTGATTGCGTACTCCCTCCACATCCGGACATCATATGTCCATTTTGAAGGCAGGGATGTCAGAATGAATGCATGGTCTTGTGTGATGGCCGTTCTTCCCTACTGTTAGGCTGCAACCGACCTGTCTTTTGTCCGGGGTGTTCGGTGGGCGTGTTTTGCTCCAGCAGCCGTGCGGCTGCTGTGCTCAGAATGCTCAGCCAGGCCGTCAATGTCATCTCTGTGGTCCATGACAGACTGACTCCCGAGTCTTGTTTCGTATACCCTCCCTTTGTCTTCCTTCCATTCTCCCTCTTTGTCCTCCTCTCCCTCTATTCTGCCTCTTTCTCGTAGCATGAATGTGGGCCGTTATGGCGCTCCATTACATCAACGTGTCAATACCTGTATGTGAGAGGCACATTCAGTGGGAGCTGAAGGAAGGGAGAAACCACGAAAAAAAAAGCAAAATTAAGTAGGTACACCCATGAACTGTTGAAATGCGGACCTGAGTTCGAATCCAGATGAAACCAGATGAAACCAGATGAATGAAATTCCTGAATTTCCCAGGGCTGGTTAGTTTCATCTTTTACATATAGTGCCTGCGGCGGGTCTGGAGTATATTTTCTGGCTGTGATAGACCTTTCTTTGTTTCGTGGGTGTTTTGCTGCCTTGTGATGGGGTGTGAACCGACAGTCTGTAGAGTTTTCCGTGTGGTGTGGGTGGGTGATAGTCTGCTTTGATTTTTGTCAAAGGTACCCTGAGGGCAGTGGTTGGTGGCCACCTCAGGGTATCAGTTGTCTGGCAGTCGTTGATGCTTAACCACAACTGGGGCTAAGGGCGGATTATCACTTACAGCAGGGTAACCGGCGTTCAGGACGGGCCGAACGCCCGAACCCGAACGCCCGAACGTATGGGACCCCTTGGGGATGCGTTCGGCCGTTCGGGCCGAATGCGGACCCAAAAAAAAAAAAAAAAAAAAAAAAA